CCTTTATGTGGACGACATAGTTCTCACAGCCTCCTCCACTGCTCTCCTCACCCGCCTTACTCAAAAACTTAAGGGAGAGTTCGCCATGACAGACATGGGGGACCTCAATTTTTTCCTTGGGATCAATGTTCAACGCACTGGCAGCGGCCTCTTTCTTCACCAGACACAGTTTGCCCATAAAATCCTGGAACGTGCTGACATGCTCCACTGCAAGCCCATTTCTACACCAGTCGACACCAAAGCAAAGCTGTCAGCCACGTCCGGAACACCACTTCCGGACCCCTCTATATACAGATCCATCGTCGGCGCCTTACAGTATCTTACTTTCACTCGGCCTGATCTTACATATGCAGTCCAGCAGCTCTGCCTCCACCTTCATGCCCCCCGCAGCACCCATCTCACAGCCATGAAGAGGGTTCTACGGTACATTCATGGTACTGCTACTCATGGCATCACACTTCACCGTACGGGCACAGATTCTTTGCAGGCCTACTCCGATGCTGATTGGGCTGGATGCCCCGATACTCGTCGCTCTACCTCGGGGTACTGTGTTTTCCTTGGAGACAACCTTATCTCATGGTCCTCCAAGCGCCAGGCCACCACCTCCCGCTCCAGTGCTGAGGCCGAGTATCGTGCCGTGGCAAACACCGTAGCTGAGGCAAGCTGGGTCCGAAATCTTCTCCTTGAGCTTCAACAACCCCTGCGGCGTGCCACATTGGTCTTTTGCGACAACGTTAGTGCTGTGTATCTGTCATCAAATCCAGTACAGCCCCTCCTCTTCTCAGTATGCAGATATTTTCACTAAAGGGCTTCCATCTCTTCTCTTCTCCGACTTCAGACATAGTCTTGGCGTCCGTCCTTCGCCGGTCACGTAGTTGGGTGCATGTTAAATATGTTATGTATATATTTAATATTAATTATGTGATCATTGTAATTATGGTAGTTTACATGTATAGGTTTCCTTACGTAATTAGGAATCCTTTGTAACTATATATACGAGCCTTCTCCCTCATTATTCCTTAATATAGAAAATAATAATTCTTCACTTAGTCTGTATTGTACTAAGTGTTACATTTCCGAGACTTTTGACTTTTGGATTCCTTCTGTTTTATCTAAACCGTTAGCGTCCTCGACCTACTGGCTCAGATGCTACGGTTCACCTGAGAACCTATCGAACTATGCGTTGCCAACCCTCAAACCTTCCTTCACACATATTGGGTACGAGTGTCTCCGGGAACATGGCCACCTGATTGGTAGGATTGTCCACTATCTGGAAATCGTTGGCATTGAAAACAAGAGTGCAATTGTTATCTTTGGTAAATCGATGGACAGACAATAGATTGGAGGTAAGGGAAGGGACATAATGAAGAGTAGAAAGGTGGTATTTACCATTAGGAGTATGGATATTTACCTTATATAAATTTAGATTAAAAAATATTCTATATAACTATTTATCCATACATTTTTAAATAGTTTCCTAATTTTTCATGTAGATTAATATAAAAAAACGATATTATTCATATTAAAAAGTTGAAGAAAAAATAATAATGAATGTAAATCATAAAAATAGTGAGATGAAAAAATGAAATAATTTATAAAATATAGTTATGAACATAAAAGTTGTAATTAAAAAAAGTTATAATAATAATAATAGTATATTTTTTTAGAGTGATTTGTCAGAAAGTAGAAAGAATTTGAAGAAAATAAATATAGTTGGAAGAAATTAGAAGAAACTGGAAAAAAGAAGAACGGGAAGAAACTGGAAAAAACTGGAGGACTGGAAGAAACTGGAAGGAACTGGAAGTTTAGAGTTCAAGCTCTAAAGAACAGGCCCTAAGTGTTGGTGCGTTAATAAAAATTTATACTAACACAAAGTGTTTGTACGTTAACAAAAATTAGCATTACACCAACACAAAATGTTGGTACATCCATGCGGACCTGCGGTGTACAAAATGAGGTACAAATTTTTGGGGTACAAATAACATTATGGACCATGCTACACACCCCCCACCCTTGCTACCAACCTTGCCTCCACCCGTTTCTCCACCACATATTTATAAGAAAATCCCCTAAATAGGAGTAAAACATATATCATATCCTCAAAATAGGAGTTCAAATTTAAACTCCTCTAAATAGGAGTAATTAATTAAATTTTGTTTTGATATATTCTTTCGCACTAACCACACCACATCCTAACCCTATGCGGTCGAAAAAGTCACTCGGCCCCTTCCCAATCTCATCCATCTACGATCTCCCTCATTTTAATCTTAATTGTTGATGCTGTCAACTTAATCTCAATCTCTTCTCCGCCGGTATCATCTTCTCTATGCGGTAATGATTCCACCGCACTCTCCATCATCTCCTTTTTTCTCATACACACAATCTTCTTCCATCTCTCTCCATCATTTCTATTTTTCATCGCTCGGATGCCTCCGTCCCCTTAGGTAAGTTTGAATTCAATTTGATATTTAACTTGACATAAGTAGTTAAATTCAATTTTAAATCTAAAAATTTACGTTTTCGGGAATTATTTTTTAAAATTGGTACTAATTCTTTTATCCTTGCGTGAGTTTGAAACTTTTAATCAATTTTATATTCAATTTCACATAGGTTGTGACATTTGGTTTTAAATCTAATTTTACTTCTTAGAAAATTATTTTGTAAAACAAATATTGAAACTAAATGATTATTGTGTTGGCAAATAGAGTTTTCTTGATGTTTAACTTTTTTGAGATTATGCATTAACATATGTGTTATATGTAAAATTATACATTGGCATATCTGTCATTATACATTGCCAAATGTGCCACTATATATTGTCATATTTGGCATTATCTCTTGGTTTAGCATTATGCATTTGCATGTATGACTTTATACAATGACATGATTGTCATTATACGGCTATGTGTGGTGTTAAATGTAGTCTTGTTTGACACTGTATATACATTTTACTGTAATAATTTACTAAGTTTCTATTTATTGCTTAAGAATTTTGATATATATCTACAAGGTATTAATCAAGTCTCATAGATTTATTGATTAAGAATTTTGGCATTAAATGTGGTCTTGTTTGACATTTTATGGGCTTGAGGCAACACTTAAAGGTCATGTTTATCAAGTTTTTTTCTATTCCTAAGAATGTCAAATCATCAAATCAGAATATTTGAGTTGTGAATTAGGATACACATATAAATATTCAAGAGCAAGATAGAAATAACCATATTTGTTTATGGTACTGAGCTTTGGGTGTGCTTTTGTTGTCGTCCCTTGACGATGTAGTTAAAAGAATCATTTATTGACAATATTTTAACATTGGGTAAAAAAATTAGCCGGCTTAGTAGTTAGCTGTTATTTTGATAAAAAAATAAATATAATGTCTTATTTTATTTTCCGACTCGAAAACATAAACTATTTGTAAAGCCAACTTTTTAATTAAAAAAATAGGTAATTGGGTTGATCTCGTAAAAAGGTGACTAATAGCATAAAGTTTGTTAAGTTTAAACTTTGGTGTAAAAAGTTATGTTTAAAATAGATATTACAACTTAATAAATAAATATAAATATTTTATAATATAATAATAATAAATAATCAGTGTCCTAATTTATTCTAATTCCTACCCCCTTTTAATCAGTGTCCTAATGGCCTAATGCCCAGTCCCCTTTTAAGTGTGTAAATACACACCATGCAAGCAAAAAAAACAAGAGGAGAGAGCATGAGAAGAGAGAATTGAGGACAAAAATTAATTAATTACTCCTATTTAGAGGAGTTTAAGTTTTAGCTTCTATTTAAGAATATTGCATAACTTTTACTCCTAATTTGGTCCTTCTCCCCATATTTATTTCTACCCATTCTCTACCCATCGTCTAATTTTAATTTTCTTGGCTCCCTACCACATGTTTATGTAGGGAGGCATGAGTGGTAGCAAGGGTGAGGGGTTTTTAGCATTTTACCATGCTACACACCCCCCACCCTTGCTACCAACCTTGCCTCCACCCATTTCTTTACCACATATTTATCTCTACCCATTCTCCACTCATCCTCTAATTTTAATTTTCTTTCCTTCCTACCTAGAATTAACATTGGTAGGAAAAGCACCTTCTTAATCAATTGTACGGAGGTCAATGTTGTGTTTGTTCCTCAGAACTATTCATTCCCCGCTTAAACCGGATCTTCCCCCTCTCAAAGAAACAAAAGAAACCCATAAAATAAAAGAAAAAAAAGAAAAGAAAACACACCCGGAAGAATCAATCCCTCTTCCAGAAGAAAAAGCAGAGGTGGGGGCGGGTGTGGAATTCGGGCACGAAGATACATAAAATCAAAATCTCCGCGTTCAATTGCAGGCCGGATTCCCACGAATGCGGCAATAAGAGCAGAGATTTCATTCGGGGCCGCCAGGTCAAAATGGGGAATGTGACTTCCAGCGTGGCCGCAAAGTTCGCATTTTTCCCACCCGACCCTCCGACGTACGATGTTTCAAGGGACGAAGACGGCCGGCTGTGCTTCAGCGGCGCGACGGCAGACCAGAACGTGGACGTGCATTTGCTGGAAACGAAAGGCGGGAACAAGATCGTGGCCACCTTCTGGAAGCACCCTTTCGCTAGGTTCACGCTTCTGTACTCCCATGGCAACGCCGCAGATTTGGGTCAGATGCAGGGCCTCTTCCTTGAGCTCAGAGCCCACCTCCGTGTCAATATCATGAGGTTTTTTTTTTTTAATTTGTTGAAAACTAAGGTTGTTTTGTTCATTTCTTTTGTCTTGCATTTCCATATTTTTCTTTTCTTTTCATAGGTGTTTATAATGCTGGTGATTTCATCTCATTCCAAATTTAATGCTTTCTATATTCCAATTTATTTTGCTCATGTGAATTTGCAATGTCTCCGGTGCAAAATTTTGATCCTGCATTTGGACTCACAGAAATATTTTAAAAATATGATTTTTCAAGACTATATTTCTAAATAAATTTAATGATACCAAGATCACATTAAAACTAAAATGTATTTTTTCAGCGCTATTGACTTGATTACAATGTAGTATCTGTGCATACTTTTTTCAACCTAATGACGTACAAAGAGTCGAATGCCCTGCTTCTGTTGGGGCTTGAATCTGGGTGAACTAAAATGTACTTTATTTGCTAAATTCCATTGATATTTGTGTACTTTGACCACGATAAAATTAAACAGGCAAAATATATTGGGATGGTGGGAGTTGTACTCCACTACTACTTCGAAAGTAATTCCACTTTATATTTACAAACTTCATTCTCTTCTGCTATCAGTTGTGTATTTCAATAAAAGGTCTCCTGAGTCGCTTGCAATTTTCTATGTATTTTTTTAGTTATAATGCATACATATTTTGGAGAATCATTTTTTTGAAAAGTTTAGTGCTATAACCATTATGACTTTTGTGATATATCCAGAAAGAGCTTCTCTACCTTGTTAGGAATAATGTCTTCTACACACCTACACTTCAAAAAGACACCTTGTGGGAGTGTATTGGATTTTTTTTTGAAGTAATGTATTTCATCTGATATCATTAAGTTTCCATCTTTGCAGCTACGATTATTCGGGATATGGTGGATCTTCTGGTAAGGTATAATGAATGCATGTGCCATGAAGTTATTATTCAATCTAAGAACTCCATTATGTGGAGTTCTTACGGATTTAGTAAGAACCAAGAGTTTGATTCTCGAGAATATTTTTGTGTGTGGATATATCCAACAGCCATCTGAGCTCAACACATACAATGACATAGAAGCAGTCTACAAATGTTTGAAGAGCGAATATGGGATCAAGCAGGAGGATCTGATTCTTTATGGCCAGTCCGTTGGTAGCGGGCCCACGTTACACCTGGCATCACGATTGCAGAGGCTGAGAGCTCTTGTTCTTCACAGTGCCATTCTTTCTGGAATTCGCGTCTTATATCCTGTCAAGATGACATTCTGGTTCGACATCTTTAAAGTACGCTAATCTCTTCACATTGGTTTCTTCTTCCTCGCCTCTGAAATGTTGTTTTTTGTTTTAAAAAGTGCTGTGTTTTTTCATTTCTTGCCAGAACATAGACAAAATACGGAAAGTCAGCTGCCCGGTTTTGGTCATCCATGTAAGAACACATGTCACCTCAGTCCTCTTTTTTGTTTTTTCGTATTCTTTAGGTGGAATGAATTATCCTACATAGCAATTCTTTTGAATGAATGTAGTATGAGTGTTGTAGGGCACAGCGGATGAAATTGTGGACTTCTCCCACGGGAAGCGTTTGTGGGAGCTTTCACAAGAGAAATACGATCCGCTGTGGGTGCAGGGGGGAGGCCATTGTAACCTGGAGACTTACCCAGATTTCATCACTCACTTGCGCAAATTCTTGAACGCAATGGAGAAGCACTCCTTTGTTCATATGAAGGAGCAAAGCAAACCGCGCCTTTCTCAGGCCTCCCAGAGCGTCCCCGACTCCAAAAACAACAAGTGCTTGAGATTTGGAAAAAGATGATGAATTAATAACTTCTGGAAACCCCTTCTGATTAGGCCGGGCTTGATTCTGCTAAGCCAATGTGGAAACAGGAACGACAAGGGTTATTTATGTTAGAGATCTTTTTTTTTCTTGGCCATGTATATATATGAAGAAATGTTTTGTTTTACTCCTCTCCACGCCCCCACTCTCTTCCACCTGATGTTTTCTCTAACGGGGAAGAGCAGTTTATTACGTGTAGTGTGTAAATAGCATGCCTGGGTTAGTGGCATATGATATTTTGGGTTGTACTAGGGGTACACCAAAATTTCTACACTACTCGTACACTAAGGGTATCATAAACACACAGACAAAAACAGACAAGAATTGTTTCTTGTCTTTGTTGTACACACAAAATTGTTGTTTCTTATGTCTGTGATACACTCAGTGTAGAAGTGGTGTACAAATCTTGGGGTACACCAAGTTTTGTTGACTTATGAAACAAGAATTACTATTTTTTTTGATATTGCAGTGAAAAAGTCCATGAAAAAGAAGTAATGTATGTGTCACATAAATATCACGGAAAACTATACATATGGTTTGAAAAAAACGAAAAAAAACTAAAGTAAGAGTAAAATATTATAAATGTATCAAAATAGGAGTTTCATGTTTTTATTTTCTAAATAAGAGTTAAAATGCATTTACATTACCAATCATGACCATATACATTACGTAAATTGCACATATATGGTGTCATATTATTACAGTGTGAACTCTTATGATGGTAATAAACCACTGAAGATCTCTACCATGGGGTCGGTAAGTTACGTAAGCTGAGTATGTAAAGTTTAGAGAGAGAAAGAGTGCAAAGTGGGAGTATTATTAGCTTAGATTCGGATCCTCTACAATGAGAAGGCTTTGCCCCTTTTATAGTTTCAACAATACAACTAGTCAACCCTTGTGACTGATACTTGTCGCTTAGTAGACATCACCTGACTCTCATAGTCTAGTCCCTTTCAGCTAGTCGTTATCATCCAGTCCCTATCACCAGGTCATTGTCTCCCCATCACTATCATCTGGTCCGAGCCAAGGTGGGAGATGCCCTTTGGGACGAGCCGAGCTCATGCCTACTGAGCCGAGGCTGGAGGCCGAGCCCGCTCACATCTGGGCCCTTTCCCGTGCTTACCTGAATGCGGGGTCCAGCTGAAGATCAGACCCTAGGGTGACGTGGGGTTATCCTCCACCATAAGCCCCCCACTCTCCAGGTTCCCTGACGGTTGGAAGCAGAACGCGGGAGAGTAGAGGTTCCAAGGACAACGAGCGCGTGTCCTCACTTGCGGACGCGCCACACAAGGGCTGTGGCATTTGACATTCCCCAAATGACGGGTTGCGACGTTTCACCTTCCCAAGGCGCCCCATCATCATTCATCATTGTGCGGGCCCATTAGTCTCTAGTACAAATATCACCTATGTTCCATTTACTTTTAACTTTTAGAGAGAGACATCCATCGAAGTCCATCATCACGCCATCGTCTTTTCACCGATGTCCGTTGCAATCCAACGAGCAACCCCTCGGGTGATTCTCTTCCCCTTAGCTCAGTCCTCTCACCTCTATTCTTCGATGTCTGTAGAGTGTTCTCCCATCCGCCAATCCGAGGCTGATAACCGGCTCGGGCTCGGAAGTCAGGGTTCTGCCCTTCGGGACGATCAGGGGGATCAGTCGAGATCTTCGTCTCTCAAAGAGATAGAGGCCGTTGAAGTTCCTAGGACCACCGAGCCTCATTTTCAAAAGCAGATGATGTTTGTGGAGTCGTTCATCCGCTCCTAGAAGTGCAATCTATCAGAAGATGAGTATCACAAGGCGATACGCTATGCCGGTCCCGGCATTACCGTCCGTCATCCCACGCCGGAGGATTTGGTCTTTGATGCCCCTCCAGGCTTCTTCTCGATTCATCTCAGGTCCCTTGAGTATGGGTTTTGGTTCCCTCTCCAATCACCTGGTTATTGCGTTCTTCAACCACTTCGACTTCCTCCCGTGCCAGTTGGTACCGAACTCGAACCGTAACTTGGCGGGGTTCCTCATTTTCTACCGTCAAATTGGCGTGCACCCTGAACTTCACTCCCTCTAGACTTTGTTTCGGGTAGCAAAGTCTTCTGGCTCGGACTCTGGGTCTTAAAACCAAGAAAGACTGCGTCAAAACTTGGAAGTCAAAGATCATCTTCGTCTCTGTGGGTTCGACTTTCCCCTTCTAGGAGACTCACCATAGTCCCTTCCGCCGGCAGGCCAAGCCATCCACTACGAGAGAGGTCCTTATGAGCTCGGGTCCTTTGTAACCGAAGAAGCGTTGGCCGAGCTCGGGTTTGTTTTCTGGAAGCAGGCAGAGCCCAAGCATCGGGTATTCCAACAATGTCTCGAGGAGGGACCATCAGGTCCATGTTGCCTCTCTTCGGTCAATTTGGGCCACAACTCGTTATCTGTATGAGAAGCGTCAGGCTCACCCCCCACTCCTTTGGGTTTATTGCAGGTGAAATCATGCTTTTCGCGGCAGACACGAGAAAGCTTTTCAAGGGCAAATGCACTCGGGAGCCCTCTCAAGCCCGACCCCCGACGCTGACAACTAATTCGTCCACCGAGGACGCTCCTCTGACCAAGAAGCAGAAAGACGTGGCTTCTTCCAAGGACACGGCCTCAGCGAGCGCGACGAGGTCTTAGTCTCCTCACATGACAGATTTCGGGAACCCTTCTCTGGTCAAGGTGGCATTCCCTCCCCGCCACTCGTTTTTGCAAGGTGACTACGATCCACAGCAGTTCTTGCGGAGCTTCGTCCCTCCCCCCGGTCGGCAGGTTCTCCGGGGGTTCGACAGGGACGAGGTGTCATGTGCCTTCTTGCGGGAGTTGGGCTCGGTAAGATTGATCAAATAACACATTCTTTTAATGTGTCTAAGTCGGCTATGCGCGGGTCGAAGCTGGTCTTCCAGATACAGTGGCCCGAGGACGAGAAGGCTAAGGTCGACGAAGAGGTTCACAAGTTGCAGGGCCGAGTAACCACCCTAGAGGGGGGACTTGGTGCAGCAGAGGAGCGCACCCGGGTTGCCGAGGAGAGAGCACGCAGGCGGAGGAGGCTGGTCGGCGCGCGGTGTATACTTTCAAAGCCTCGCCCACCTTTGTGGAAGAGGGGTTCTCTTCGGGAGTCGAGTAAACCAATCGTCAATAGTCCCATTCAGGATTCGGTTAAACCAATCACACGCTGAGCCCTCCAACGTCGTGATGAAACATCAGCACTTGACCTCATCTAGGGCTGCCGCCGCATTCATGGAGGCATTGAACTTCAACAGGTGGTCTTGAGGGTCTGTCGTTCCACTGTAGGCCTTGATCTACCATGACCAGAAATTCGCTGGTAGCAGAATAGACATAACCCTCGGGGTGAACGGGGTCACCATCCTCAAGATCAGATCAGTTGGCTGTAGGGCGCTCTAGTCTCCACTCGACGCTTGAGCTCGGCAATTCCACGTGCGAGGCGGGACATGCCGTCATCCGAGCCCTTTGTCTTCTCAGTCCTTGTGGGGCTCTAGCGATGCTGGTTCGCTCGTCTTGTCGTCTGTTAGTACGCTCGGGCCTCCCCGAGCGCGCGTTCGAAGTTGTTGATTCCTTGGCGTGTCTCCGCCCGCCCTCCGAGATCTGTCGGCGTAGATCCCCCTGGCAGCCGTCCTGTCCATGGTTAAGCCTTTCAAAGGCCAACACGCGGGTCTCATCGCCCCCCAGCCGCTTGAAGGCCGACAATCGGTCCTCGCTAAAGTCATCGTCCCGTTCTTCTTGTATGTTCTCTACCGGTACTTCCTCAAACACCGGGGCGGTGGGGCCTTACCAGGCCTCCTCTGGCTTCTTCGGGTCTTCTTCCCCTTATGCTAGGAAGTGGTAGTGTGCTCGGTGTTAGGGTCTCCTGGGGCTTGGGTGGTTTTGGTGCCGCATCCACTCCCGCCCATGGCGGAGAGGGCTGCAACGGCAGCCTGGAGTTGCTCCACGGCCACCCCCATCCCGAACAGTGCCTGAACCGCATCAGGGGTCGAGGTAATCCCTCCAGTCCCGTATTGTTGTTCGGGCTGTTCTCCTCGCCGGGGGCGTGGCTAGTGGTGGGGACGTTGCTCCTTGTCTGCACCATTCTCGTTCTTGGGAGTTAACCTACGAGTATGTTCTCTTCTCTTAATGAGAGCACCAATTTGATGGTAATAAACCACTGGAGATCTCGACCGTGGGTTCAGTAAGTTACGTAAGCTGAGTATGTAAAGTTTAGAGAGAGAAAGAGTGCAAAGTGGGAGTATTATTAGCTTAGATTTGGATCCTCTACAATGAGAAGGTTTTGCCCCTTTTATAGATACAACAATACAACTATTCAACCCCTGTGACTAATATTTGTTGCTTAGTAGACGTCACCTGACCCTCATAGTCTAGTCCCTTTTAGCTAGTCGTTTTCATCCAGTCTCTATCACCTGGTCGTTGTCTCCCCATCATTATCATCTGGTCCGTTCCAAGGTGGGGTATGCCCTTCGGGACGAGCCGAGGCCGGGGGACGAGCCGAGGCCGGAGGCCGAGCCCGCTCACATCTGGGCCCTTTCCCATGCTTACCCGAATGCGGGGTCCAGCCGATGATCAGACCCTAGGCTGACGTGGAGTTATCCTCCGTCATCTTATTTAGTCAATAAAAACATGAAACTTTTATTTTAGTACTTTCTCTATATTTTAATCTTATTTAGTGTGATTTTTTGAAAAAAATAGCGTAACATAATTATTTGGATGAAGTGTAAATATTGCACTAAAAGGCCAAACTCAATCTATTATTATTATTATTATTATTATTATTATTATTATTATTATTATTATTATTATTATTATTATTATTATTATTATTATTATTATTATTATTATTATATATATAAAAGCACAATGAGAAATCAAGGCCAATTAGCCAACAATTTTCCCGCCAAAAAGAATGATAAATTTTGTAAACAAAAATTGGCTGCACCTTTGGAGAATCAAACTGAGTGCACTCTAAATGAATTAATTCAGCCAACAAAATACACTGGGAACATGACAAAACTACTCCCTCAATTTTTTTTATTGTGTGTTATGATGTTTGACTGAAATTTTTTTAAAATTACTTGATGTAAAATTAAAAATAAAAATTGCATATTTAAAAACTACAAACGATCTACTTCCTCCGTCTCTAATTGTTTGCCACACTTCGAACGATGTGTAAAATATCATCTCTTTTAAAATTATTTTATTTACAAATTGGTAGAGAAAATAAAAAGTAAAAAATTAAATCATTCAAAAGTTCTACAAAACTAGATGCGACAAGAATACATGATTTTATTAAATATTCAACCAAAATGAGTAAAAAAACAAAAGTTATCAAAATGCCGAAATAGTAACTGTGACATTCTTTTATAGACGAAGGAAGTATACAAACCAGATGGAGATGTACTAGGTCAAATATAAATGTTTTGTTTAATTTTTTAGTAAAGTTTATTTTGTGACATATAATTAATTATTTATGAAATAAATTTTACACTAACAATGAAAAAATATTTTATATTCGATGAATGTTTGAAATAAAATTCATTATTTTTTTGTCATTTCATATATGAAGTAGCTTATTTTAAAAAAATAAGCAGACTGCCACAGATCTCAATCATTGAAAACACCAAACATCCCATGCATGATATATAGGAACTTGTTTAATTTAGGAAGAAAAACTGTGGAATAACTTTAATTAATTGAAAAGAAGGAAGCGTATTACAAATAAGGAAGGAACATAGGTTAAGATCTTCTCTAAACAAATCATAGCCTTACGATCCTTTTTTAATTGGATTCTTCAAAGCTGATGGAGAATTTAAAAATGTGATAAAAATAGATTAGGTAATGCTCCGACGTATACTAGTGTAACCTCTCTCTTTTCCAACGTAACGCATACACACATATATATATATACACACCAATGCTGGAAATAACTTTTTTATTTTTTCTTAAGAATTTAAAGATATACGCATTAAAAAAGCACAAACTCAAAGCACAAAATTAAATTAAAAAATCCTAGAGCCACAAACAAAATATTCACAAAATGCACAAACTTATTATTTGTGTATTTAAGTTTTTATTTTCTGATTATTTGGGGCCATTATTTTACATATTTGGCAAGTTTGTAAGTGTTTTGTTTGTAACTTTAGCATTTTTTCAATTAAATACGCTTGGTTAAAAACAGCAATCAATTCAGTTTTGGTAAAAAGATTCCTAGATTATTAAGTCATCATTGTTCGAAAATCAAAACCTTTTTCAAAAAAGACAAACATAAATACTTCAATTGCATTTAATTACCTCTCATTGAACTTTTATGGCTTCAATTCTTGAGGTTATTGACATTATCATTTTCATCAAGAAAGTGACGACAGAATCTCAAATTTTTTGCAAACTAGTTCTCTGTTTCTTGTTTCTTTCCCTGCCTGGTTTTGGAAACCTGTGTTTTCTGAACTAGCTATTCCAGAAATGACTGTTGATGGTTGTAGAGGGGCCGGAGAGGACATCCGGGACGATTTTCCGGTGGGTATGCGCATTCTTGCTGTCGATGACGACCCCGTTTGCTTGAAGCTCTTGGAAAATATGCTCAGCAAGTGTCAATATCACGGTATGTTTATCATGATCTGATCGACTTAATAATAGTCGTCTTGAATATGATCCGGGAATTCTTTTTGCAGTAACCGCAACAAATCAAGCAAGAGTGGCGCTGAAGATGTTGAGAGGGAACAGAGACAAATTTGACTTGGTTATAAGTGATGTCCATATGCCTGACATGGATGGCTTCAAACTGCTAGAGCTTGTTGGTCTTGAGATGGACCTTCCTGTCATTAGTAAGCACAAAATCAATCTCATTCGTTATTATTATTATATATAATTATTATTATTATTATTATTATTATTATTATTGAAATTCAACGATATGCCTTGACATTCTTGAAAATCAATCCACTAGTGTTGTCGGCGAATGGTGACACCAGGCTTGTGATGAAGGGAGTTACTCATGGTGCTTGCGACTACCTGGTGAAACCTGTGAGGATTGAGGAGCTGAGGAACATCTGGCAACATGTAATCAGGAGAAAGAAGTTTGATTCCAAAATTACCCAGAGCAACTCGTCTGGTCGGGATCATCATCACTGTGGAAGTGAGGAAAGTGGACTGGTGGGGGACCAGTCATCTGCTTCTGCTGTTCATCATCACAATGAAAAACTCAACCATAAGAGGAGAAAGGATGAGAAGCAAGAAGGAGAGAGTGATAATGGAGAGGATGATGAAGAAGACCCATCAACACAGAAAAAGGCTAGAGTCGTCTGGCGTCCAGAACTTCATAGGAAGTTTGTTGCAGCCGTTAATCAGCTGGGCATTGAAAGTGAGTTACTTTGTCCTCATCTACGATGCTTATTAATGTCCGACTAGCTACTAGTAGTATCACATTGTAGCTTCTCCTCTTCATCTGCATCTGTGTTTTTCTTCTTCTTTTTTTGAATACAGAAGCTTTTCCTAAGAACATTCTTGATCTGATGAATGTTGAAGGGCTTACTCGAGAAAATGTCGCCAGCCATCTCCAGGTTTATCAATTTCACTTGTTTTCCATTTCCAGTACCTTTATTTTGTTATTATTATCTGCTCCATGAAAACTGGTTTACATTCTTAAAGAAAAAACCATTAAACATCATACCAATTTATCCACCAATTTGGAATACACTATGAGATTGCTGGTTTCAGTTTTTTTTCCCAAAGGGATTGCCCAATTCCTCTCAGTTATACATCTGTAGAGAAAGTGAGACTGTGTTGGAATGTTTGATATTTCTGGGCTGCTGTCCCATTGGAGTCGAATAAATTGAAAACTAATGCCAGACATTAACTAACAGGGCTAACAATGTGGACAATGAGAAAGAATTTCATCTTCATTACCTACAAAATGCAAACATTGTTCAAAACACCTCTTTGTTCTACTCATCTTCCTCTTTCCCACAGCAAAGCAAGAAAACTTCATTGATATCCACCATGAATAAAAAACAATGATAGTATTCTGAAACCGGACATGCATGAACGTATGTGTAATTCTTGGTAGTAACCATGTGTAACAGAAGTATAGGTTATACTTGAAAAGGATCAGTTTGATTCAAACTCCCTATGGAAGCATCCCGGCTGTGTTTGGTGACAAAGATTCTGCTTATAATATTCGGATGGGTTCACAGGATGGGTTCAGAGACCTTCACACATTGGCTGCACCTGGACAATATAGCCATGCTAATACGTTCTTATCATCATCACCATATTCATTTAGTAGGCTTAATACATCTGCTGGTGTGAGCCTTCAAAACCTTAACTCAATCGGTTTGCTCCAACCAAGTCCCGCCCAAACTTTAGGCAACCTCACCCTTGATCGTCTGGGGAAGTTGAACTCGAATGGCCAAAGCTCAATTAGTTCTTTCCTAGGCACTCCGTCACTGGAGCTTGACCACGTCCAACACAGTAAGTTTACCACAAGTGTACTGGGCCACAATCAGTTGGGCAACTCAAGGCTTCTTACAGCTAGTAGTAGTACATGCACAGGCTCTGGATCTTCTATGGGCAACTCAATCAATACTATGCTTCTTCAAAGGAACTCCCAGTATGGACAGAAAAGGGAAGGGTTAGGAAACCCAAATTCTTTATGGTCTGATCCATTAAGTAAGGACGCTTCTAACTTCCTTGACCATGGAGGAGGATCAAATGAAACTCTGCAGAATCCTGCTCTGGTTTCAAACGTGCAGTCAAACCACCCTTATTTATTGACAGAAGCTTTTGGTCTCAGCAGCCAGTTGAGTAAAAATAAAGATGGATGGAATTATTCTACAGCCGACCCTCACTCACCGGGCAGCCCTCTTCTTTGTCATTCTTCTACTGCCTCTGCTTCTATGCTTCCTGAAGAGGGCATGGGGGGTTTAACACCAAACCATGAAGCTCTCACAGACAATCAGATACCTAGCCTACTGTGGGAAGAGCATGAAAAGAATCACAACTTGACTAATGGTATCAGCAGTTCAAGCTCTGGTAATGACATGATGCCTTTTATTATAAGCCAGGGTGTTGACCAGAATTACGATGTCTTCAACAGAAGGATGGATACATCTTTAATTGGTCAACCAAATGGAGGCTCTTCGGTTCACCTTCAAGACTCGAGGGTGAGAAGCAATGAAGACTACCTTTTGAACTCTGCAAAGACACTGCTTAATAATGGCTCTCAGGGTAGTGAATCTTTTGGTGATTTAATGGATGCAATACTGAAGCAGGTATGACTTCCAGAATGTGTCTCTTTTGTTCTTGATATATCTGAAATAGCATTGTTTGAACTGTGTGAACAGCTAATATAAATGGATATGTCATATAACTTGTAAATAGCAGCAGGCCCATTGTTTTTTCTAAAAACAATGTTGAATAAAACCGGTTGGAATTTTCACGACATTATTAAACAAAAAAAGGTTTGGGTGGTTTTTGAGAACAAAATTACAGCTTTAACTAATTGAAGTACAAGAATATGTCAACTAAAGATTCCATGGAATTATCATCATTTTAAACAACCATTGAGCTATGGACATAAGAGAGTAAATTTCTAGTGTCTGTGTGTGTAATGAAGAACATCAATAAATACGAACAACGTCCACAGGGCAGCTTGATTTTGGTTCATGATGATATATTATGGAAATGGGAAACCCTTCATTGTCACTATACACCACAAGGTTCTTATTGTAGTTCCTTAAGGAAACATTTCACATGATGCAGGACCAAAATGGAGACGTGTTATATGGAGAGTTTGGTTGAGATTTGATGAATGCTCATATGGCTCGTGAATAAGACAAAGAGGTGCAGCATGTACCGCCTTTAACAGATTCATTTGAAAAATAGTAGAGAGGATCAACTAGGGGCAGGATGTCTTTATCAGCTTTCGTCCTTCATCTAGCAGACATGGATTGTCAAAAAGATTGCATGTCTCTTAGATTTTTCCTTGTGTTACATTGGTTTATGGGTTCTTTTTTTCTTCACACTTCTAATGCACAGTTATCTGTTTTTTTTTTCATTTCATTTATCCTCATGCAATTTTGCAACATGGAGCTAGCAAACATGCCATGCTTGCCATATGTATATTCATGTTAGAGTTCTTTTATGTTTTTAACAGATTACTGAATATCATAGTAATTATCTCCTGCTCTTGATGATTGATTAGACTTCTCTCTCTGCTAACCATTTGTAAGCATAACATGAAGCAAACTAGAAAGATCCACTAGGAATTTATAGGAAGATAGAAATCTCCATGTGGCAATCAGATAATAAATTAATGTATGTTCTGGTGCAGTTAGCTGTTCAGGTTTTCGGAGACATAGTGCCCATTTGGAAACAACTTCAGCATTTAGCTTTAGCATTTGAAAACGCTATCTAATGGCGGTGTTAAGCTTTAGCATTTTCTAAGTTAATATGCACCATTAAAAATGATCCAAAACGCTCTCTGAAAATATTGTTTCCAAAAAAAGGCCATACTCAATATGGCAATCGGGATCTAAATTAATTTGTAAACTAATCACAACATTACATAAAAGAATTGTGTGATTATTCCAATGGAGAAAATGAAAATTTTGCCTTAAAGATTAAAAGTACCAGTAGACCACCATTGCATCGATCTCCATGTGTTATACTGAACTTGCAGGTAGGTAAGCAAAGTAGTACTTGTCAAAGTTAGATTAACACTACATCACTAAAGAGAGGGTCTTGATAACTTAAAACCGTTTCCCGCATCAAAGGCTGAAGCTTCTCTTGCAGCAGCTCATAGATCTGACTCATTTCAGTATGGGACCTATCCCCCACACAAAATACATGACACTTACCACTGACTTCTATTTGACTAAACCCGGGCACCTTTTTTACCTCCCTTCGTTTCATCTTCTTGCGTACCTGTGCAAAATTGTCCCAGTTACCAGAAGCAGCATATGCATTTGCCAAGAGTACATAAGCACCCGAAGTACTCGGCTCAAGTTTGATAAGTTCATTCCCAATCTGGCTTGCTAGTGCGGCATCTCCATATAGTTTGCTGGCGCCAAGTAGTGCCCCTAAGACAGCCCCATCTACCTCTTCTGGTGGCATATGTGCCACAACCCTCATAGCCTTGTCAAGGAGCCGAGCCCTTCCTAAAATATCGACAAGGCAACAGTAGTGCTCAGATCTTGGTTTTAGTCCATAGGCATGCACCATGGCATCAAAAAGCTTCTGACCCTTCATCACCAAACCTGCATGACTGCATGCTGACAACACGCCCACAAATGTGATGTCATCGGGCTTCTCTCCTGATCTTAGGATTCGTGCAAAGGTTTGCAATGCGTGAATGGCGAGACCATGATAAGCATATGCAAGTATCATTGCAGTCCATGACACAACGTCCTTTGTTTTATGGTTTTCGAAAGCAATCATCGAGGAGGTAAGGTCTCCATTTCTAGAATACAGGGTGATCAGAGAATTAGTGACGGACGCCTCATGTTCTAACCCTAGCAGTAAGGCCAGTGCGTGAATCTGCAATAACTCAAGATCACCACTGCATGAAGTCAGGACACTGGTAATAGTAGTTTGGTCTGGCCTTCTTCCATATCGAAGCATGGATCGAAAAAGCTTCAAGGCTTCACCATCAGCTCCACTTTTGGCATATCCATCAATCATCGTATTCCAACTGATAACATTCTTATTTGGCATCAATTCAAAAAGCTCAGAAGCTTTGCTCATCAGGCCTTCACCAGAGTAAACAGAGATCATAGCATTCCAGGCTGCCACATCTTTATACGGCATCTGATCAAAATACATCCTTGCTGATTCTGTCAGCCCATTGTGTGCAAGACCAGTTACCATTATGGTCCAAGAGACCTCATTTTTTCTTGGCATTTTATTAAATAGTTCCATAGCCTCATCCACCCTAAGATAATCCAAACAGCCTTGAATAATAACATTCCACGAATATAAATTACGCTCTGGCATTAGCTTAAAGAGTTCGAGCGCTCTATCAAGGTCATGGTTCTCAATATAGGCCCTGATCATGGCAGTCCAAGCAATGACATTTCTATGGGGCATTTCGTCGAAATTACTACGCGCTTCTTCGATCAACCCATTCCTCGCAAAGCCCATCAAAGCTGCAGTCCATGAAACGTCATTTTTCTCAGGCATCTGCCGAAACAACCTACGAGCTTCATCCACATTTCCAATTTGAAAATACCCACAAACCAAACTGGTCCAAGAGTAGACATTCTTGCCGGGCATTCCATCAAAGAGTCTCCGAGCCTCATCTATTCTCCCAGCCTTGGCATAACCATCAATCATTGCAGAGTCAGACACGACATTCCTTTCTGGCATGGAAAGGTAAAGGTTTTCGGCTTTCACAAGCTCCTTATTCTTCACATAAACATTTACCATTGACGCATAGGAGACAATATCTCTGTGGGGCATTCCATCGAACACTCTCCTGGCCTCGACAACTTTTCCCCGATGCCCAAGGCTACTGATCTCTTGGTTATTGTCATAAAGGGTTACTCTAGGATCAGACTGTGAGTGGGTCTGTGGATTCTTCTCAGGTCGAGTTTGGGAAAGGGGATTTGAATTCAAGTAGGATCTGGAGAAGGAGGGATGGCGAAAAGGGATATTTACGTCAATATGTCGGTGTTTGGAGCCCCATAAGAAAATGGAAATATTGCGGCTTATGATATTTTTTCTCATGGCTACGAACTGATCTTGGAGTGTGCTGTGGTCCGAATTTATATCTAAAAGCTTCTTCACGTTCAAACTAAATTTTAAATAATTCCTATTTTTCTTTCTATTTTTTTCAATTTAGTTTATTTTAAAAAATGTTGGAAAAATAAAAAGTATGGAGTACAAGTGTACTTATGTATCTAAAAAATACGCCAAAAATTTTACAAAACAAGATATAAAAAAATTATTTATTTTATCGAATAAGCAATAAAAAACACAAAAAAATAAAAATTATCATAAATTTTGAATAATGATATCCATTGTAAAACGGATGGAGTATCATTGAAATGAAAATGCAAAGGGTGAAAAGGTTAGATTAAAAAATATCATACAGAGTAATAAAAAAGTACTCGGTATAAAACAGTATCTTTAAATTAGAATTCAAGCAAAGATATTAGAAAAAGACCAAAATAGGACTAAAACATTGAAAATATACCGAAATAGTACTTCCATATTTTTATTCCCGAAATAGAACATAAAATATATTTACATTATCAAACATGATCATGTATATTATCAAAAAGTATAGTAATGTATACATGTACAGAGTCACATTACCACAATGCGAAGTCATATTTCGAGGAAAAAAACATGAAAATCCTATTTTAGGACTTCTTTATATGTTTTAGTCCTATTTAGGGGGATTTCTAGAAATAATGTCCGCAATACTTGTATATTTCATTAGTTGTAGATGAAAGATATGGAGTAGGTACTTTATAATCAAAATAAAGTGACAGCAACAGAATGAACGTTATTCAAAAAAAATAATGATAATTATTCAAAAAAATAATGAATATTACTCCCTCCGTCCGGTAAAAATCTTCCCGGTTGGACTTTTTCTCATTTTTTTGAATGGTTGGCTTATGGGGTGAAATGGCTAAATTGCCCTTACTAAAAAAAAACTGCTAAAGGAAAGAACAAGTTGGCCGAATGGAAGGGATTCATTAATTAAATACACTGTTTACATTATGGGGGGATATGGGTTCCAATACATCAAATCAACTTTTACAAAGTAATCATTCCACAAAAATTTCAGATTTCCCTCCTCCTTTTTTAGCTACCCGCCCAAAAAATTAAGAACAAGGACATTCAAATTGAAAATCAGCAGCATTTAAAGCCTCCTAGGTCTTTCCCTTTTTGGCATGCCCTTCATTCACCTTTCCTCTTCTTCATTTTCCTTTCTTTCTTCTTTTTTCTTTTCTTGTCCACATTTCCTGGAGCCCTGCACACACAATGAATAATGCTCATATAAATACGAAGAAATTGGATAACACAACACGGCAACTTATCAGTGACGCCCTACTAACACATTCAAAGCAGAAATCAGACGGTTCATACTCAGCTCAGAGAGGGCAGATCAAGCAACTAGCTGCACAGTTTAATGTTTCTAGAAAAACAGTGAGTACAATATGGGCCATTGCAAGGAAACAACTAGAGCGGGGGGTTGCCATCAATGTGAGTAGCCGGATGATAGGAAACAATGGCAGGAAAAGGGTGGCGATGGATGTACAAGCAATTGCAGACACTCCCCTGCGGAACAGGACTACTATAAGGAGTTTAGCAGGTGCTATTGGTAAGCCGAAGTCCAGTGTTCATGAGTGGATAAAAAAAGGTATGCTTAGAAGCCATTCTAATGCTATCAAACCTTACCTAACAGATGATAACAAACTGTCAAGGTTGATGTTCTGTTTGAATCAAGTTGACCCACACAGTATGCCCCTTCAACCTAGGTTTAACAGTTTTCACAACGTCTTGCACATCGATGAGAAGTGGTTCTTTATGTCCAAAACGTCACAAAGGTTTTACCTACTTCCCGATGAAGTAGACCCATACAGAACATGCAAATCGAAGTGGTTAATAACAAAAGTCATGTTCATGTGTGTGGTTGGAAGACCACTAATTACTGATAATGGAGAAGTATTATGGGATGGAAAAGTTGGCATATTCCATTTCAGTGAATTAGTGAGAGCCAAAAAAAAGAGTAAGAATAGGGATAAAGGAGTTGTGGAGGTGAAACCAATCACCAGTGTTACCAAACAAGTTACAAAAGACATGCTAATCAACAAGGTGATTCCAGCTATCCAAGAAAAGTGGCCTGCACAATTATCTAAAGACATACACATTCAACAAGATAATGCAAGGCCACACATTCAAGGACTAGACTCAAACTTTGTTGTTGCAGGTAACAGTAATGGTTTTCACATCAGTCTAGGCAACCAACCCCCCAACTCCCCAGATTTAAATGTACTGGACCTTGGTTTTTTCAGAGCCATCCAGTCTTTAAAAGAAAAGTGTGCTCCAACCAGTGTGGGACAGTTGTTAGAGGCTGTGGAGGGAGCCTACAATGCTCTAACTCCAGAAACTCTAAATAAGGTATGGTTGACTTACCAGCAAGTATTGACTAAAGTAATGGAGCATGAAGGAGGCAATAACTATAGATTGCCACATATGGGTAAGGACAGAATGGCCAAGGTAGGGACACTACCTACTTGCTTGAACATTGATCCTGTTTTAATTGAGAAGACAAGTAGACTGCTGGGTGAACAGAATGAAAGTACACATGAAGAAATGAGAAGGATATTTTTGGAAGGATTGTGGGTAAAATTAGAAATGAGAAGATTATTTCCGGACGGGAAAAAAGGAGAAACGGGAAGATTATTTCCGGACGGAGGGAGTATTCATTTAAAAACTGTAAAAATGACACAGATGTACATACATTTGGATTTCTCATATAATGCCTCAATGATTAAAGAAATAAATGTTCTACAATTCTATGCACTTAAATCACTACATACAAGTAAACAAACACCCTTCATGTAATTAAAACCAAAAACAATAAAACCAAAACCAAAGATAGTCTAGTCTAGTGTTGATTCCCAGACCAGCCCAATTGGCGTGCCCTTTTCTCCCACAGAGCAGACAACTTCTTCTCCTTGGCCAGCAAAACTTGGGCTCCCTCTCTTCGCACCTCACATGTTTCGGTTGCCGTATTACACTTCTCGGCCTCCTGCTGGTACTCCAAAGCCAACCTTCTGGCTTCCGTGACTGTGATGTTCATGCGCCGGGCGCGCTCTATGTCCACTGTTTCTTGCAGCTTTAGCTCCTCCGACACCAAATCTACGTACTGCTTCTCCATCTCGTCCCTGAGATCCGGGTTGTCCTTCCCACAGTCTGTCATGTTGTGTGCATTACAAACGAATGGCAGAACAAGTTAGACAGCATTCACTTAATTGGCACGCTTCTTAATGTAATATGTAAAAAACTTTTGAATTTTCCATTTTTGCCCTTGGTGATGTATCTATGAGTTTGTTCTCTTCAACTTATTCTTAATAGTTATTACCTATTCTTATTAGAATCAGACCAGAAACAGCTCTCAATATAACTACAAGCAGATCAGAAAAGATCAGAACTTATTCCAATCAGAACCAATCAAATTAGGTGAAGAGAACTGGCCTTAACTTGAGGAGAGATGTTAAAAAAAAGTGAACGGTGCAAAAGTAAGAGTGAAGTAGTCTTTTAGTTGTAAAAAAAGGTGAATAGTATTTCCATTAAGGAAAGGGGAAGAAATATATATAAACACAGAGGGAGTAGTGTTTAGGAAATATTTCATCCCTTGTTTTGCCGCTTAGTAATGAGACTTACTAATTGAAATCCTCACTCAAAGAAAAAAGGGTGCGGAAACGTTTACCTTTAACTGTGAGGTTCGCCAGACCTGCCATAGCAAGAATAACACATGATAGTTAGATCATTGAACTTAACAATGCAGCAATATATATCCAGCAAACGGAAACTAGAGCACTTGATTTCATGATCATGATTCATGTTATAAATTATTTTAGCCTATTCAATGAACCTGACACTCAATTTCATTCATGTCACAATCCGAGCAAGATAGGACTAAGGCGTTAATGACAATGATCATTTTGCTAGATTAGGCATAGATAAAGATTTTGATTTGGTCTCACAAGGCATACATTAATGCCTCATAGGTAACATGTGTAACACTCAAAAATTAATATGGAGTAATACAGATCTTTTTAGTTTGTGAAAAAAACAAAATTCATAAATAAATAAGGTGTGGCAATTCATAATAAATATTGCAACCAAAATAGTTTGGGCACACTACTACAAAAAAGGTCTTTTAAATTGGTTATTTTTACCTTTTTAAATCGGTTGTCAACCGATGCAAATGCTGAGGTAACTATTTGCATCGGGTAAAACCGATTCAAAAGCCCCTTCCCAGAATTGGCGCCACCTCTGAGGATCTTAGGGTTAACCAGGTTCGAGTGTCAAAGGGTGTTTGCATGCAACTTGCTATCTGTTGGTAGTTTTCCTTTTTGCTCCCATATAAATATGGCAAATAGGTGGCTATTTGAGGGTAGAAGTAGAACAGAATAAACCATCAGAAGGCTAAACCATTTCATTTCCGGTATCATCAAAAGTATCACCATTATTTTATGCTTTGTTTGGTTTATACCGGTGTTAAACTATTGATTGTTATATCAGAAAATAAGTATCTTCTTAATAAAACCATGCACTTAATGATTTTTCAGTTCAACTTCCCTTCCAACTACCTAATATAAGAGTAAATTAACAAAATAAATATCACTCGTCCCATTTCCTTCAAAATCCCTTACTGTAGTGTCTCCTAGCCTATGAAGCAAAGACATGCTAGATGCATAATATGGCAATACATACGTATGTGTACAAAATGAGAGGATTTTATAAAATGTGACTTACAATATGTTTTAAACATTTGGTGTATACATGTGCGGATACGTACACATATTAAATGGTTCATAGTTTAAAATACTTCTAATAATACACATATATGTATTCATGAAAATACAGGTAAACGATCATTAAACTTGATGACTAATACATATCATAAAATCATAGTCATAAATCATGAAAAAGCAAATAAAAGATAACAATAAACTTGCTTTAATATAAATTAAGCCAGTTAAGAGGTAGTATCTATAATAAACAACTCCAAACAAAAACACATGAGTCCGGTACTTTTGACGTCGGTCCTTGGTTTCATAATACAACATTAAGCCGTTGGGGCTTCTATAGCCTTTTGTCAAAATACAGGAGGGCTGGGGGTAAGGGGGCAGGGGAGGTGAGCTGTTGAGTTTGTAGGGTGGGTTAGGGGGTAGGGCCTAGCCCTGGGACGAACGCCACAGTGTAAGATCCCGTTGTCAAATTATGACACCAAAAATGGGTGTCAAAAGAACCGTGGGGAAATACACAATGCCAAAATGTTTTTGAAGTGAACAAGAAAAAACATCTTAAGCAAGGTAAATGTTTGAAGTTCAAACATGATTAAAATTATAAGTTTTCAACAACATTCAAAATATTCTAAAATGACAGAATCAACAAAAACACTATGAAAAATGATAAAAATCATTATAATTTTAGTGCACATATAAGTCTCTCTACCATTAGTCTCAAAAATTGGGTCAAAATAGTGAAAACTATCTTGAAATCAAGCATGAAAAAAGCAATGGAACAAACAAATAAGAAAGCAAACACGAACCAGCAGAGAAAAATGCTCAGAAAATATAAGGAAAAAAAGCACAAAAAACATTTTGGGATTAGATAATTTGTTTCAGAATCAAAATATAATAGTCTACAACAACATTTAAAAACTGGCAACTCCAAAACAGTTCTGAATTTGAAGTCACCACCAAAGGAAAAGTTGTTCAGTGGGAATATTTGAGCAAGATAGGCTTTTCGAAAGAGAATTTGTACTGGACAAAAAATCTGACCAACCACCCCACATGGCACAGCATGGTTGGCTGGCCAGGAAATCTTAACCCTGGCCTTATCCCATGGGTAACAATTGTGGACCAAACAAAACAAAGAAAAAAAGAGAAAGAAATGAGATACATAATGTAGAGTACGTAATAATTAGTGTATTGTACAATTTTCCATGAAAACACCTATTTTGCAAATTATAGATATGTGCAAACTATACATAAAATATACACATTATATGCGTGTTAACTAACTAGGCTCCATACGACCTCCATCCCCCAAACTGGAGTCAACAAACAGAATTTAATTTTCGTAAGCTACAGCTATCATAAATCGCCAATGGTACTTGTGTTTTTTTAATGTTTAACATATTTCCTTTGTTCTTCACTCTTGTGTTTTTTGAAATAGAAATGTTTCTTTTTTAGACGAAACACATTTTTGGAAAAATGACTTTTTTTGGTAGAAAAGAGGTAACAACATATCATACCACTTACTAGATGATAAGATGGCCAAATCTTAAGAACAAAAGGCTACACCCTTCTCTACCAGAATTCTTTCTCAAAACATTGGCTTTACCACCAGTACAATTGGAGTTGGTATCCTCTAGTAATAGGATCTCAAGCAGGCATTATATTTTCTGAAAAGAACTACACATTGAATGCAGTAAAGACCCAATGTCTCTTTTATGGCCTACCATCATATAACTTTTACTCCGTATCAACCATATGACCTTAGAAATAGATAGAACTACGTTCTCCCTCAGCATTATACGTCAAAAGAAGAGAAATTGTACATGATAGTTCATTGGGGGTAATACTAATTTCGTTGCATCATACAAAAAGTAGAAACTGGTTATTGTGCTATCTACCTTTGTAAGCACTGTAGGAGGTTTTTTAAAAGAACTTTATGGACAAATCTAAAATGCCACGTATCTTGTGTGACATTCACAGCATAAATGCATCTAGCATTGGCATCCAAAAAATAAGTGGCTCGTAATTATTTGTTTAACCTCATAACTGCTGATGTTGTAATGTACTTATAATTACAAAAAAAAGGCAAATGTATGTGTGCACACATGCGAACAAATAATGACCAGTCCGACACTCCGACTACTGGCAACTGCATTGGTTATTTGGTTAGAAGGGAAAATGTTAGCACAGAGGTGTTTCAGTACATATCCCTATCATTAGTCTGAGTTACAAAGCACACAGAGGGTAGGTTGGGCATAACTTGTCTGGCCATAATGAAGGGGTTAGATTCATAAAGATAAGAACTAGTAGCATAACACTAATTTCTAATCCTGCATGCTAAGCAATGTTCAAAGGTTAGATTATTCAGAAAATAATGGCACCAGTATATACCAAAAAGTATAGATTGTTCGAATCATGCCTAGCTTGAGCGCATAAAAAAGATATGCCTTAAAGCCAAGGACCAACAACAAAAACAAAAACAACAAAGCATAATTCCAACTTCGTTGGGGTCTAGGGGGTCAAGATGTACGCAGTCTTACCCTTGTAAGAACAGAGAGGTTTCCGTTAGACCCTAGATGCATTTCTGAATTTACTACCCAAAACATCAAAGAATATAAGAAACAAAGGAAGTTTAATGCTCCATTTTGATTTACTCCACTATGTGGCTGAAAATAAAACACTGTCAATAATGACTTTTTTAGTTGTGGCACTTTATGAACCAAACACAAACACCTAATCCAATGGAAATTTTCCGAGAAGTAGTTAAACACATATGATTACTTATTAGCAGCAATAGAGGTATGAACCAAACTTTGATCAGGTGCACCATCACTGCTTAGTATGCAGGTATGCACATAGGGAAATTATCTCATACATCACAACCAGAATCCTGTCATATATTGATGACAAGATAAACAAAATAATCCCAACTAAGGAACAAGAACTAATTATAGGAAATTACTCAAAGACACAAGGATTTAATCTTTTGATCACGAATATCTAATTTGCAGTAATAGCAATTAGTAAAGAACTGGAAAACCAAAGATTTCGAACGAAGGGCAGCAAAATTAAATAACAAATGCATAAAAGGTTGAAAGTATACTTGTAAAGTAACCGGAAACAAAAATCATACAGTCCTACAAAAACTGGATCTTTGGGTGGGACAAAGTAAAAGAAGTATACCAGGAGCAACATCTAGAATGGAAAGAGGTGGAGAGCAGTCACATTTGCAAGGAGGGCAAGAGGATTTGATCTTTAGAGCTTTGTTGAATTTCCAGTAAAGGGCAGGCCCAGACACACACAGAGCTGAAACCACAGCAAAGATCACCAAGCAGCACCTTATGCAATTCCCAGATCTCCTTGACATCTCGCTCTATCCCTCTCAAGAAATTCAGAAAAGTAATCGACTTTCCTGTTATTAATTAATGGGTTCTTGAGATTTATAGGGGGAGGTCAGGTCACTTTCATATTCTTGATATCCACTAGCTGAGAAGCAATTTCTTTACTGATTCAAGGATTCGAGTTGCTATTAGCTACGCTGTGGTCATTTATGATTGATGAAGGAAACGTTATTCAGCGTCGGCCACTTGATTATTTTTTTTACTTTGATTGTGAGTCGGAAACAAATTCAAAACATTTCAACGCTCTCACACGTTCCAAACCGACACTCTATGGACCGCCACACCCAATTCCAAATGACAAAGCATTTTTCTACATTATTAATCTAACCTTTTTTTACATGGGAAGAGGGAAGAATTTATGGAAAAGGGCGGAAAAATAGTTGGAATTTATGAAAATGTTCTCCTACATATAATAAAGAATCGTGTGAAGCGCGCCTGTTCACTCGCGCAAAGTGACAGAAAGATTCTTTCAACCAAGCAACAAAATGTTACTGTTAATGACCTTTACTTCAAAAATTTAACGTGAATATTAAAATTAACGACCTATTGTTAAGTTGTTGTTGAAGCGAGATGATGATTTTTGAAGGGGCCAAACGGCGTCGTTTGAACACCCAACCAATCCTTAACCCCCCGACCAATCTTTAGAAACGATACACCTTAGCTTCTCCCTTCGAAATTGTTCTGCTCTTCGTCCTCCTTAGCCGATTCCAGCGTTGTCTACCCTGATATATTGCATATTATCGTCGAATACCTTCACTTACTATCATACTTTTGTTTACCATGAAGAATATCGGTGCAAATGACACGGTCCGGTATAAGAGAAGAAGAACTCTCACCCAAACACAAAGGAAGGAGATCGAGAATGCAAATCAGGTATTTCCAGATATCCCTCACTTAAAATTGACTGATTTTAATTTTAATTTTGAACTATTTGGGCTTGGGGTCAGATTTCTGATGGGTAACTCAAACTCTAAAAGGTGAATCATTCCCTCACACGTTCCAAACCGACACTCTATGGACCGCCACACCCAATTCCAAATGACAAAGAATTTTCTACGTTATTAATCTAACCTTTTTTTATAGAGGAAAAGGAAAGAATTTATTAAAAAAAGGGCAGAAAAAGGTTAAGAAATCTCCCTACGTAGCATTCTAAGTCACTCAATATTACGCATATAGCACTCTTTAATCTTTTCTACGAATTTAGCTATTTATTGTGTCAATATCTTCCAAGCATACCCTCTACCTTTTATTATATTCTACTATTTTTAATTACTTTTAATTATTTGATTAAATTTAGGTTATTCACGTAGCCACTCCTCCTCATACGTGCGGCTCCTCCTCATTCATGCATCCCATACGTGCGAGAACATCATCCTACGTCGTTTACAATAGCTCTGCGAGATCCTCCTCCTACGTAGTTTACCAATGTATAATGCCTAAACAAGTTTGTATGTATTAATTTAAGTTCCATATTTAACACCCATGTTTGACCAGTGTGTTTTGGTGCAATAGATTATTCATAAAATCAGTTATATATTTTTGGACAGTGTGGAATTCATACATGAAAATAGTCATACATATTTTTGGCAGTGTGGAATTCATACATGAAAATAGTCTTGAATTCATACATAAATGGAGTTATACATTTTTTGGGCAGTGTGAAATTTATGCATGAAAATAGTCATGCACTTTTTGATAGTGTATAAATTATACATGAAATGACTGTCACATAAATCAATGGACATTACACTTCAACATGAAATTAAGAAACACAATAATATACTTACACACTGTCGTAAGATATAACAACATATATCCATTCTACACTGCCACATTAAATACTCACATATAAAAAACCACACTGCTCACTACACTGTTAAAAGTGAACAACCACACTGCCCAAAACAATCATATTTTTTGGCAGTGTGTAATGAATATTTGTTGTTTAATTAAATGACAAAATCAGAATCACATGTGCAAAACATATGACACTACTATTGAGAGTTTTTAAGGTTCTAAGAGTGCTATTTTGGTTTTTCTCCCAAAAACATTGAAAAAATACCAAATAGGATTTCCATGTTTTTATTCCGGAAATAGAACTTGCATTACCATACATGGTTATATACATTACCAAAAAACTATAGGGTTATTTCTATATTTTAAAATTAAAGCTTATGTTTATACGAGAATGAGTACTACTTTTATTCAGAATTGAATGAATATTACACGGTTGTAGCTATCTCTAGGTACAACCGGTTGTACCATATACATGCTACATAAATGCACGATGAGTTGTCATGGGTCCTCCAGTTAGGAGAAAGTATATAGTACAACCAGATGTACGGTACATCCGGATAATATTCATTCTGAAGTAGAGTAGTACTCATTCTCGCACAAATATAATTAGCGTGATACTCATTCTAATATAATGCAGTACTCATTTTCACATATTGGTTCAATATAATTATAATAGTCATCTACAAGTAATGTCGTGTTCATTCTAAAACAAAAAAAGTACTCATTCTCAAATAATTTAGTGTTCATTCTCATGTAAAATAAAATCCATACCATAAATAATTTCTTGGTTGTACTCAAAATTGGGTACAACCGGATGTATAATATAATTTGCCTCGAGTTAGTCCTTGTTCTCTTTAATTTAGTTTTTGTACTTACTACCTCCGTTTCTCAAAAGAGTTCCTTTTTTGACTTTGGGGGAAAATAAGGAAGTATTAAATTGTAGTTGACTTTCCAATTTTGCCCTTGATGTGATGGGTAAAAGTAAGATGTGATAGTTTAGTTGTTAGTGAAAAAGTATGATGTGATAGGTATGGTATGAAATAGTAGGGGTAAAAGTGGTTTTTTAATAGAAAGGGGAAGTGTTTTAAGAAAAACAAAAAAAAATGAAAGATGAAGGATTTTAAGAAACGGAGGGAGTATTACTTATTGTACTAAAGTCATATAATACCAAAAACTTTTTAAAAGTAAATAATGTTATAAAAATCATAGTAAATAATACTAATAATTACTACTTTTATTATTATGCAAATAATATTAATAATAACAGTTCAATTGATTATAATTTTTTTTAGTTTTCTAAACACATAAACAATATTATTAATGTTATAGGTAGTAGTAGTAACAACAACAAAAAATAATAATAACAATAAGAATGATGATGATGATGATGATAATACGTGGAAATAATAATGATACTACTACTAATAATAATGAATATGAAACAAATAATAATAATAATAAAATGATACTTTGATTTAGAATTAGATCAAATCTATTTTGATCAAATCAGATTAAATCAAATTAAAAGGAATGATTTAAAAAAGTTACACGTTTATAAAAATTTAATAAAATCAATGATGATTTAATACTCCGTATAAAATTAAATATGCTACTGTGGCTTCAAACATTTTATGGTGTGCACCCGTGGCTTAAAAAAGTATTATAGGGAAAACAAATTAATAGTCATTGAATGAAATAATAAAGAAAATTATTTTAATTAATAAAACTTAAAATAACAAATATCGAATGGATCGTTTATTCAATGACACATCTTTATACATTGCATATATAGAATAGGATAGAAAATTTTAAAATATACTGGTATTATGTACTAGGTAATTAATAAAGATGCATATGCGAGCGATGAATTTGGGGTTTTTTTTTGAGAAATAAAATTTCAAAATAAACCATCGATAGGTTTAAAATTATAAATATGATGTTCTTTTTTTCTAGGAAATATTATCCAAAATAATCTCAACTTTATCATGTTTTCCAAAAATAATCACACCTTTCACTCTGATACTTAATAATTCCAACTTTACTAAAATTTATGAGTTTTGGGTTGCTGTTAAGTTGCTAACAGCGGGTTAACGAAAATGTTTGTTTTGTCCAACAAAATGAAAATTGGGACTACTTTTTATTAATTTTTGTTTTTCAATTTTTTTAAAATTTTCATTTAAATTTTTAAAATTACTTTCTACCTCCATTTTCTTTTCTTATTTTAAAGATTAGTCTTACTTTAGAAAAAAATGGATATAAAATATAATGACAATTCCTTTTTGTATAAATTTTTTTTTGCATGTTTCAATTTTTTTAATTTTGTTTTTCCTTTTTTTCTAAATTTTCTTTTTGAACTTACCAAAAAAGTTATTCTAGAAAATAAAAGGTGAAAATGTTTAATTTGAGATAGATCAAGTATATGTAATTTTTTATTTCAAACACAAAAAATTTTGAATTTTTAAAACATTATAAGAAATTGAAAACAAATTTAAAAAAGAGTAAATTCTATAAAAGGTCCCCAGTTATAGGTCATTTTACATATTTAGTCTCTACATATCAAGTATTACTAATTTAGTCTCCAATTATTATACTCATTTCCACGAATGGTTCTTTGTTAACATTTCCGTTAAGAACGTGAATAAAATTGTAAATTCACACTCTTCTCTCTCCTCAATTAAGCTTCCTCCCTCCTCTCGTACTCTTTCCCAAACTCGTCGCTGAGTTTGAAACTCTAAACCCAAAACTGAAATGATCATTCATCTCTCAATTATTAGTCTTCTTGGTAGAACCTAAAATCAAAACTAATAAGCTTTATGGATAAGTTTTATCAGTTAGTCTCAAGAAATTGCAAATAAAATAAACATTAAAACTCATCCATGAAGGTTACTGGTTTCGAGTTTGAGTTCCACTAGTTAGACAAACAATTGAGAGAAAAGTGATGATTTCGGTTTTGGGTTCAAAGCTTCAAACTCAGCGACGGATTTGGGAAAGAAGTGCGAGGGAAGGGGGAAGCTTAATTGAGGAGAGAAAGGAATGTGAATTTACAATTTTATCTACGTTCTTAACGGAAATGTTAACAAATTAAAGGACTATTCGTGGAAACGAATATAATAATTGGGAACTAAATTAGTAATATTTGATATGTAGAAACTAAATATGTAAAACGACCTATAACTGGGGACCTTTTATGGAATTTACTCTTTAAAAAACTTTTGTGAAAAAGGAAATAAATAGAAAAAGAGAGAGAAAACCCAAATAATAAACAAAAAATAAGAATTGAGCACGAGTGCCCCCTATGGTTTAAAAACAATATGCATCAATGTCCTCTCTTTGTCGGAAAATGATCAGATGGGTGTGGGTACAATGTTTTGAGACCACAGAGAAAATCAGAAATAAGTTCTTAAAACAATGAGATAATAGTACCAATTTTCCAAACAACATGAGGCAGAGCTACTTAGGGTTAGACCCTATATGCAATGTGAAACTTACTTTGGAGTTTGATGTTTTTTATATGATAATTTATTCAACAAAGTGCAATTTTTTAAGGCAACCAAGTGCAATCAAGATACCCTGTTTGGTTACACGTTTTGAACTCCTTGGCTTGAGTTATTGTATGGGAAAAATGCTTTGGTGTACCCCAAATGTCCCCCACCCCCTCCTTGTCCACTAAAAAAGGCAAAAAAATTTAAAAAAAATAAGTAAATAAAAATCAAATAAAAATGTGTGGAGGAAAAGAGGGTGGTGTACATTTGGGGTACCCCAAATGGTGTACCCCTAGCATTGCTCATTGTATGGTGAGGATTTGGTTTTGAGGATGTTATTCTAAAAATAAACCACACGTGCACTTCGAACCCTTTAATGTAGTAAAGACAAATACTCCCTCCGTTTGGGACAACAGTTTCTTCATTCGCTTTTTTGCTTTCATTAAAACACTTCCTTTCTTAATTAAAATGGTTAATATATTTAAATAAAGTTATTCCTATATACTTCATCTATTTTGTATTGATATAATAAGAAATTTAAATGATTTTTCACTCTTTTCTATTCGACGCTAATGATTTAATTGAAAAGTCAAACTACAAAATTAACTTCTGCAAAAGTGAAAACATGAATTGTTTTGTAGAACTGAGGAAGTAGAATATTTCTTCGGTGGACCTAAGATCCACACTACAATTTATAGATCTTTTCACCTTTGAAATTTTTTATTTTTTTATTTATTTTTTGCAAAAAACGACGTTCATTGGGGGTAATAAACATTCGAGCGAGCACTTTCTAACTAATGTAAGAAGTGCGCTCGTGTATGATTTAAGAACATGTTCGCATTAATTAACTTATTCTTATTAAAATATATTTCACCATATATTTCTCACCGTACTCAAGCGTTAAAAGCATGACAAAAGTATGAATATGAGGGATAATATATAGTTATACTACTAATGTATTGTGTTCAATGTTGGTTGATATCAAAGTAGTACTCCCCAATCCATTTGTGAAGAATTTGTATCTCTTCCTCTCTTTGTTGGATGAGCCACTTGGGGTCATCCCTAGTAGCTGCCCTAAAATCAGCATGGTGTGCTCCTAAAACCATCCATTGCACACAAATATATACTAGTTACCCATTACTAATCATAATTATAATTATTTTTAAAAAAACATTAAAAGGAAGGGCTAAATAAATTAAGTAAATAATCAAGCAATACCTTTCTCAGTCACCAAGGCCACTATGCTATCCGATATGTTTTTCAGAACACTGCCACATATGTCCAGAATTGAACTTTGTTACATTATGTTACTAGTATGGAATAGAAACTAAATAAACTCCATTTAAACATTACACCAAAAATGAGGAATTAAGTGACAATAGTGGAGCAAACTATTTGGGTTAATTAACTTTGGGTAGTAGTTGGAAACTAGGAATTCATTCGGATTCATGCATTTCAATTCTAAAATTTGGGATTAGGAAATTTTATTTAGAAATGGAATGTATGGATTTGCAATCACACTTTCTTGCAAATTCGAGTAATGCTTGGAAATTTTTTTAAAAAAAACTAGATTTGGGCCAAATTCCTCTAATTCCCGACACAATTACAAATTTATACACTCCTGTCGTAATTTGAAATTTCAAAATTCAAATATTAGAATTGAAATTCAACGACCGAAATGAATTCCTAGTTTCCAAACATCACTTTAGTAGCTTTATTACTTATTAGAAGCAAACAGACCACATATATTTTTGACTCACCTTCCTCTACTCCATGGATCCTGCATTCCATTGGAGAAAATGATATTGCTCCCAAATCTCTTCAGCACATGCTCAATCCTCTGCAACAAAACCCCCATACCAAACAGTCATCACCACCATTGTAGAAGAAAACTTTTATATGGTTTTGTCTGATCAAAACTGGTCTCCCAAACTCCAAGTCCACAAACATATATATGGAGTGTAAAAGAAGGGGAATGAGAGAGCTCACTTGTCCCCCGAATTGGGTGGTGATCCAATGAGGTCTGGGTTTCACACCATACGACTTTTGACAGGAGAGTTCGGTTTCTGTGTAGTTATATGAAGACGGAGGAAACATGCTCTCGTCCGACACAACCATTGGCATAACCATTTCTGTGCAGGCCTGAACCATCCAACGTTACGTTGTTTCATGTGTTCAAGTAAGAAGCTTGACATATACATTGTGTGTGTGTGTGCGCGCGCGCTTTTTAAGTCGCTATATATATTCGAAAATTGTTTGATCAACCTGCACAAATTGTTAAAACATTTATGTGTGCTTGCAGTAATGGATGTAAACAAAAAAAACCTGCCAGCCCCAACCATGGAGACCATGAGGATCAGATTCAACTTCAATGTCGAAACATTCTTCTGTTCCAGAGTAATTGTAGTATAAACTTGCAGCAGAAAATGCCCTGCTGAGCTTTGAAGCCCCTGCCTCCGGAAACCCATCAATAATCTTGCACATCTAAAAATGTAAATATCAAAATCAGAGAAATCTCAAACTTGTTTTTTTTGTGAGCAAGTGACTGCAAAAGGACAATTGTTAGTTTTATGTTTTTTTGTGTTTAAGAATGATATATGAACCTTTTCCACCGGATACGGAGGCAATGGCATCATAAAGTTCGCCTCAGTTGGGTAATTCACCATTGCTGTATACACAAATGCTGTCCAAAGCCAATCGCTGGCCGATTCTACATGTTTCAGACTCCTGGTTTATTTTCACCCAAATGTTTTAGTCCTACAACACTTAAAGTAGCTAGCCAGCTGAGCATATGATGATGGTTGATCCCTAACTCTTTCGCAAAACTTACTTGCAACTTTTGAAAAGCTTTGTGACCTCAGCTGTCGAAAGTCCATCTAATTCTGACCAACTCCCCTTTATCACTTCATAGCAGTTCAAGCTTGCCACCTATTCGAAAATCAAATCATCGTTTGTGTTTATTAACCCGCACCCGAAAACAAACTGGGACATATACATTAATGTTGGGACGGAGGGTGGGGGGGAGGGGGGCTATCAAGTTGTGTTTCATGGGCAAACACACCTTGAAGTCTTGGGAAACTGCATCATAGAAGCTAGACCATGGAATGATGTTATCAAACTGCAATATTGGTGCTGAAGATGCCAGTGCACCTATTGCCACATGTGGATACTTAAGTCTGAACCAAGCAGCCAGCACTGAGATGAATATATATACACACTTTATTTAACATGAAGGCGTACGAGCAAAATGGGGATTTTAAGCTTACGAAAGGATTGTCATCAAAATTACAAAAATTTCCTTAGAATGTGACATATTGTGTGGGAATGGTTCATTTAAACTTACTTCCTCCATAGGAACCACCAAAAACCACAACAGGGGAAGCCTCAGAAGACAGATTCTGCTTCAAGCTCTGGATTAGAATGGCATAATCAGCCAGGGCCTGCTGTGAGTTCAAGTACCCTAGTGTCTTTGCTGACTTGTATGACTCCTTCCCAAATGGCATTGATTCTCCATAAAATCTGTGCTGCATATATCATATTATAACAAGCATAAATCTCATTAGTCCATTCCAGTTCTGCAGAAATCTCATTAGTTGATTTTGGGACGAACGAAAGAAATAGTTAAGAAGAATAAAGTTAGATAATTTGGAGTAATAAACAACAAAAGTTAGAGTGTAAGTTGTTTGAGTTGAAGGGAGTTGCCATACTTCAATGAAGACTAGGAGGGCATGAAACTTGGGGGCAATATCAAGCAAGAATCCAGTGTTTGAAGCAAACCAACCAATGTCTCCTTCATTGCCAGTGTACACAAAGATAGGGGCTCCCTTATGCCAATGCTCCCTGTTGATGAGGTACTTCTGGTAGAAGATTTTGTAGCCTCTGGGTTGAAAAGTGAAGTGGTCAAGAGTCTGTGGGAAATACTCAACTTCAAATGGCAGCTTTGGGTTATCATAAGAAGATGAAGATGAAGGCTTGCCACCATGTTTCTTGAGTGCTGCTGAAGCTTGGTAGCTTCCTGGGAAATGGGCTGCCTTGTTTGATTCTCCTCCCACTGTAGTAGAGAGAAGATGAGCAAAGATGATGAAGGAGAGAGAGAGAGCTGATAAATATGAAAAGCAATCCATTCTCTAGACTAGTGATGATTGTGGACTGGTGTATCATGAGCTAGCTGATGAGCCAGCCTTCCATGTTTTGTTTTATTGCCCAGCCAATTATTGCTTTTTTGCAAAATTGAGCATGAAATTAATGATACTCGTTAGCCTCCTCAATCATTCTTTCCATTTTGATTTCAATGATCAGCTTTTTTGAATTTTGAGTATTATTTTTTTTAAATTGAATGAAAATCATTTTCGTTTAATAGAGGGAAAATGTTTTTCCAAAAAAAAAATCCTTCCAACTTATGCTACCATTAATAGATATTATAAATTAGAATTGAATTATTTTGT